TTCTAGTGTCTATACACCCTACCCTCTAGACAAGAGCACTTAAACCCACATACCAAAAGGTGTAAACGAGATTTTCAAAATAAGTCATTTCTTTCTCTCTACTATATAAGACCTGAGAGAGCCTGAAGCCCTGGGCTAATAGGCATATAGTTAAGTGTCTGTGGAGTCAAGTCACATAAACCGATGAAAAAGGTACAGGTTCTGAGACCAAGTTAAAATGCAAAAACATTGACAAATACTTCAAAGTGAAGAACTGTGAACAAATCTGATCAATGAAGCTACAAATAAAAGCAAAGTAATGGAATAGGATGGAATGAAAAAATCTAACGTGTATCAAATACCAATACTGAGATAGACAAGGTTGGGCACTATCCTTTAAATTACGTTATTTAATCTTCACAACAAACCTCAAGGTAGGTATTAGCCCCATTTTTACAGATGAAACACTAAGCTTAATGAGAGGCTCAGGTAATAAGGGCTGACCCCTGTTTCAAAACAGGTCAGCCCTCAAAGCCCATGCTCCTTCAACAAAGCAGTCTGGCCAGAGTCTAGCTTATTTCTATTTAGACTGATGGGAACTTTAAGACTTAACATGTCTAATTTAATCTGAACAATGACCCTGAAAGAAAGTGAGAAAGTTGCCAGTGGCTACCTCTCAAAACCCACAGGCTTAGCTGGTTTCACAGGAGAATTCTACCAAATTTCCAAAAGCGGATAACCATAATGCTATTTAAACTGTTCCAGAGCATTAGAAAGAACTTAGAAATTATTTTTTACAAAACCAGCAGAACATTGATACCAAAACATGACAAAGATTACATCCTCCAAATAAAAGATCAGATCAGACCAACTATCATTTTTCAATAATATTAATGCTAATATTTTTATTTAGAGTTTTTGTAAATACAATCTAGTGGCGCATACAAGACTATTCTGCCTAAGCCCAGAGATGCAAGAGTGGATATGTATCAGGAAAGTACTATTAATTTAGTAAGCCAATGGAGAAAAAACCCTATCTCTATAGATGTTGAAAACACAGGTGGCAAATTCAACATTGATTCCTGATCTTTTTAAGCTCTTAATAAAATAGGATTTTTAAAAAATATGTATCTCAAGCCAAACAGCAATCTCAAGCCAAAAGACAGAATCATATTTAAAGTATTTTTTCATTAAGGTAAAAAACAAAGCAAAAATTTCCACCATTTTTTTCTTTAACATTTTCTGGAAATAACTAAAAATTCACTTGTACCATAAAAAAAAAAAAAAAAAAAAAAGTCTAAAAATGAGAAGGAAGTATTAAAACCATCTGCAGATGCTATAACTGTATTAAAAAAAAAACCCAAGAGAATCAATGCTGAAGACTACTGGACACACTAAAATAATCCAATAAGGTAAATGGTTACAAAACTGGTACACACACACACACACACAAAACAACTGCTTGTCTGTGTATGCATAATATCCACTCTAAAATATGATGGGAGAGCCATTTGAGACAACATGGATGAACCTGTAGGACATTATGCTAACTGAAATAAACTAGACACAGAAGAACAAATACTATGTGATCACACTTATATGTGGAATTGAAACAAGTCAAACTTGCAGAACCAGAGAAGAGAATGTTGGTTGCCAGGAGCTGGTGGGTGGGGGAAATAAGAAGATGTTGGTCAGAGGATACAAACTTTCAGTTATAAGATGAAAAAGTTCTGGGGATCTAATGTACCACCTGGTGACTACAGTTAATAATACTGAACTGTATACTTTAAATTTGCTAAAAGAATAGATCTTAAGTGTTCTCATCTCACACACACACACACACACACACACACACACAAAAGGTAACTATGTGAGGTAATGGATGTGCTAATTAACTTGATTGCAGCAATCATTTCACAATGTATACTGTATACTAAATCATCATGTTGAACACATTAAATACAAAAAATGTTTGCCAATTATATAAAGCTGGGAAAATTTTTTATTTTTTTAACCATGAAGGAAGAAAAATTCCTATTTATAATATCTCACACACACACCATTAGAATAAATCTAACAAAACTTGTGCAGGACATTTATGAAGAAAATTTTGTTACTAATGAACATAACTGAATAAATTGAAAGACATCCTATTATTAGCTAAGAAGACTCAATACTCCCTAAATTAACCGATAAATATAGGGGAACTAGGCAAGTTAATGCTAAAGTTGATCTGTTAAATAAATAAGCCAAGAAAAATCTAAGAGAAACTGATTAAGAAAGACTAGTGCTATGATACTAACAAGCATGATAAAGCTACAGTAATTAAAGTATTTTGGTATTGGCACACATATAGGAGGATAAATCTTAAGAGAACAGAACCAAACACATTATAGGACTTTAGTCTATGATTTAGGTGGCATTTCAAAGCATTGGGGAAAAGATGATTACTCAATAAATGGTGTTAGGATCACAGTGTAGCTATTTGGAAGACTCACTCTTTTTTTTTTTTTGAATTACGCGGGCCTCTCACTGTTGTGGCCTCTCCCGTTGCGGAGCACAGGCTCCGGACGCGCAGGCTCAGCGGCCACGGCTCACGGGCCCAGCCGCTCCGCGGCATGTGGGATCTTCCCAGACCAGGGCACGAACCCGTGTCCCCTGCATCAGCAGGCAGACTCTCAACCACTGCGTCACCAGGGAAGCCCTGGAAAACTCGCTCTTTAACAAGCAGTTCCACTCCTAGAAATGTATCATCCAGATAACCATAAACCTTACTTCCTTCAGCCTTTTCCCTACATCACCCTCTAAGAGAGGCCCTTCCCTGAGCCCCCCTCTTTAAAATTATAGCGCCCAAACCCAACCCCCAATTCCAAGAAGCTCCTGTTTTGCTTTTATTGTTTATTTTTCTCCATAACATTTATCACCAACAACATGCCATTTGTTTACAGTCTGTCTTCCTCATTAGAACATAATCTCCATGAGGACAAGGATATTTGTATGTTTTTCGCTAATTTATCTCCAGCATCACTCAGTAAACACTTTTTAAATGATAAAGATATCTGCATAAGAGTATCCCTCCCACCTTCACTGCAAGCTCAGTCTCACAGTGTAAATATGCTCAGGGCAGACTCCCTCCCCAGACCTGCATCACAATTGTCCTAACCTGCCTGCCAGTTGCTGGTTGGGCAGGGCATGTGCCCCCATCCTTACCGATGGGAAAAAGTGCGATGTGCCAGGGAGATTTCTGGAAAAGGTTTCCATCACTTTAGAAAAAAAAAAAAAGGATGGGAGAAAATGCCTCTTTCTTTCCAAGACTCTGTCATGCCTACACATGATGCTTGGCACTTCATCAGCCATTTTGTAATTGCGACGGGAATGTCAACACACTGAAGATGAAGAAATGAAAGCAAGTTCTGAACTTCAGTGGACACTTTCATCACTGAATTAACCAACCTTGAAATCACTTTTCTAAAGTAAACTCTTAATTTTTAAAAGCTACTTTTAGTTGCTCCTTCTGTTTCTTGAAGCAGAAAACATCCTGATACCTACTTACACGTGTGCAAAAGACTTGCCTAAGAATGTTCATTTCACTTGTAAATATTTATAAGGCAAACTGCTGGTATCTAAAAGTAATAAGTCAACAGAGGCCTCCTCTAGTAAAGTTACCAAATGCCCAGCAGTGTGCTGGTAAAGGTTTACCAATCAGCTAGGAGAAGGGAGAGACTATTTGTAGAGTTTGCCAATTTCCATGGTGTAAGTACTCCCATTGAGGTCAATTTCAATAATGGCCGAGTTTAACAACCAGTTCACTAAATTCCTGCCAAGATAACAATCAGCTCTCCTGAGCCAGTAAAACCAGCTCCAGCACACCACTGCTTACACGTAGAGAAGGATGTAGATACTTACGCACTAGTAAGGAATAATTTCCTAGACATACTTAAGAGGAAAAGGGCAATGAAACTACTTATAATGGGCTTTAATTATAGAATCAATTTTTTCATGTTCACACATATTTGCATAGACTATCTTTAGAAAACTATTCAAGAAACCTGAACAAGACTGTGTAACGAGTGGATAAGAAACCTCCTTTTATACTCTGTTGCAAGCTGCTTGAACTCTTTTTGACCATGAATTACCTTTTCATAAAAATTACAATTTTGAAAAATTAAACATCACTAAATTTTCATTTTTGCAAAATAAGTCTCCTTTTCTTGATTACATACTTTGCCCCTTTTTGATGCTTAAAACAATTCTCACTAGGTTTAATAACCCCCAACCAGAATTGGGTCAGCAAACCAAACAAACTGAAATTACAAAGATACATTTTGCTTTTTTTTTCCCTAAATTAACCTAAGCAACAAAATTGCTGTGGTTCAACTTCAAGACAAATCAAAAAAAATTACACAAGTAATCATTTCATCTACAACTGCTTTTGTTAAAAAATAAATTGAGCCAAGCGTGAAAAGTACACTCACATATCCTTAAACCAGCCCCATATACATGAACTCACAGCAAGATCACTTTGCACCTCCTGGGTCTTCACACAGTGTCACATGGAAATCATCAGGATCTAATTAGTGACTTAGAGAAAGGAAGCAATAATAGAGTGCCACAAGCAGTCTACAAAACTTATAGGTCACTAAAGGTCACCCACAGCAACAAGGCTCCGCTGCTCAGTTTGCTGTGTATCACACACCAGACTCCTTGGATTCAACAGGCAACTGTGCAACCACAATCAAGGAGCTTGTTTTCAGGCCTTACTAGAGACTGCCCTCTTGTCCAGTTTAACTTCTTTTCAATTTTTAGTGTCAGAAACACAAGGAGGGCTTCCCTGGTGGCGCAGTGGTTGAGAGTCCGCCTGCCGATGCAGGGGACACGGGTTCGTGCCCCGGTTCGGGAAGATCCCACATGCCGTGGAGCGGCTGGGCCCGTGAGCCATGGCTGCTGAGCCTGCGCGTCCGGAGCCTGTGCTCCGCAACGGGAGAGGCCACAACAGTGAGAGGCCCGCGTACAGCAAAAAAGAAAAAAAAAACCACAAGGAAATAAAATTCATGGTTAGATTGATGTTTTTTCCCTTGCTCTTCCACCTCCTGCTATGTCAGGAAGTAGCATTAAAGTTCCATCTTGTGGTTGCCCAACAGGACACAGGAAGCCTGGACCTTACAACCTGATGACTAGTGACTGCAATGCAGTGAGATGGAGCCGAGGTTTAGTTACACAGGGAACAGCACTGAAACAAGGTCAGGCTGCTAAATTATCAAGGACAACATTTACCAGGTTTTCCCCTATACAACACGTATATGCACTATATGGGCACTCACACATTAAAGCAGTTTTTTTCTTTACCATGACAAAAGGATTCAACACAGGAATGGAGAAGTTAGATGGGGGAGGGGACATCTATTCTATCTATTCTCCTTCCCACCCTCCTATGTCTAAAGAATTCTCCATTTTCCCCACCACCAACACAAACCTAAAACCATTTGGCAAATGTTAAGACAAGCATGAAATCAGAAGGGACTAAGACCTGAGGGAGAAAAAATAAGAAGAAAAGAAGGAGCAAGTGAATGGCAACACAAATCCACAGTTATAAGTAAACTTCAGTGTTATTCCTTAAGACACAGATTTTCACAGGTATTTGATAACTACGATGCTTACAAAATACTAATGGATTTCTTTAAAATGTCTACAAGCTCTTACAGTTTTTGAACACAAAGCTGAACAAGGCAGTGAAAGAGAAAAAGACTTAAAAATATTAACATGTATTACTTATATAATAAATAATTTTTACATTACTGTACAATAACTTACGAAAATTCAAAAGAGGTTTAAAGTCATAACTTTCAACATGATCTAAAATGCAAACCACATAAGCGAAAACCAAGTATGAATGAATGTCTCTGGCCAAAAGTAAATGTGAAGCAATACGAAATCAAACCATTTCTTCTGAGATATTCTTCATTCAGTGGTGCTGAAGAGCAAGACCGTGCAATCAGAAAACCAAACGTCAAAGAAATGATACATGCTGGGACACAAGTGGTCTTCAAAAGGAAAAAATGGATAACAACAGCATTTATCATTATTAAGAGTCTGGGACAAGAGATGTAAAATATGAAACAGCTGTAACATTTGGCAGGTATATTCAGGTAGATTAAAAGGCATCATTTATTGCTCGACTCAGCTCATAAGCTAATAAATTAAGTGGTTAAGGCTCCATTTAAAAGCATTTTAGGCTTTCAGTCTTGAGCAGGCAGATCCATCTGAGTATTAATTCTTACCACTGCAAAGGGAGTACTAGAGTTCTATAAAATCCACATTAAGACGAACATTAACCAAGGTGGTATTTTACATGGGTTAACTGTACTCTGTTAAATTCCAGGCTATTCTGAGAAATACCAGTCCATGTCTAATTGTGCACAGCACGGAATCACAAATGCCAATAAGCACCAATTCTGGATAACAGGCTGGTAAGGGGGTGACCACACTTACCGTTTTCCACATAGGGATGAAAAGGTAAGACCAGAGCAAGGATGACCCTGCCTCTAGTTGGCTCCAAGACGCTTCGGATATCTTTTAGCAAAGTCAGGGGCTGGTCACAGCGGTCCAGCAAGTTCAAGCAGCTGATGACATCATACTGGAACCCTGTATTCTGCCATTCATTTACACCAAGCACTCTGGAAAAATCAGAAAGATACAAACCCTCTTAAAGACATCTTTAAAAATACTTAGATGCCAGTAAAGACTTTCACTTTGTCTTCTAAATCAAAGTCGGTTCAAAAATCTTCATTTATAATTTACATTTGCAATAATAAAATGGCCATACAAAAGTAAACAACCACATTTCTTTAAATTTAGCAATCCTCCTATTTCCAAATCTCAAAACATGCAAAATTTCCTTTATAAGAACTAGTAGGTTTAATAAGTGTGAAGATATCAGATGATAAAAATGGTTATGAAACTGGGGCATCCAATTCTTGAACATCAGTTAATGAACAAAGAATCCTACTTTTACATTCACTGGAATGTAATCGTAGAATACATCATATATTCATGTTTTCTATTCCTAGGGTCCCTCCTATCTTTAAGAATGGCTAGGAGTGGTATAAGATAATTTCCATTTATGTCTTTTGAGCACATCTCTATTCCCAGGAGAGAGATACTATTTCATATTCTAGAATGTTCATACCTAAATAACTATATAGAAAAAGATAAAGCACAGGACATCCTATTAAAACAGTAAGCGAAGGACATAGTTAACACACCACTCTCAGCCCTCAGTATCTCGTGAACATACAGTCTCTCCCTCCCTCTCTCTCCTCCCTGTCTTCTCTCACCCTAAGAACATTTCTAGTCCTTTACAATGTTTTACTCACAGAGAGGAGGAGACCTTATATCAAGAGGCTTTGTTAGCCACACCATTAAGGCAATTCCATAAATTACTCACTCCTGCTTGGTTATACCGATCAGAATGTGGAAGGTGAGGCATGTTATGATAGAGACAGGAGGAAAAGGAAACAGGAAAAAGGACCTTTGGTAAACAAGTCTTTGATCACGCTCAGCAGATAGAGATATCTTAGAAAATTCTAGAAGCATAATGAGGACTGTTTAGGAAAACTCATAGTATAATGACATTTTAGAGCATTTTTGTATAGCAGGATAAAAAGAAACACTAACTGCTCAGGTGCATCTTCTTTTCAATCTAGATTTTTTTATTTTTTTATTTTATTTATTTATATTTTTTGCGGTACGCGGGCCTCTCACCGTTGTGGCCTCTCCCGTTGCGGAGCACAGGCTCCGGACGCGCAGGCTCAGCGGCCATGGCTCACGGGCCCAGCCGCTCCGCGGCATGTGGGATTTTCCTTCCGGGCCAGGGCACGAACCCGTGTCCCCTGCGTCGGCAGGCGGACTCTCAACCACTGCGCCACCAGGGAATCCCTCAATCTAGACGTTTTTAAAAACTAAAGCCTCCTCCAAAGCAAAACTGACAAACGTCAAGGAGCTAGTCAGATTTCTTTGTTGCTTGAAATTAGGGCATTAGAGCTCCAAAATCACTTTGTTGTATCGAAACTGTGACTGCAATGATGATTTTAGGAGCTGTATTTAGCTCATTTAAACTAGAGAGAAGACTCTACTTTCAGGATAAAAATGTCATCAATTCCCATTTTAAAAGCAGAAATGAACAATTAAAAAGAAAGACTATTTATATATTAATACCTTAGCCAAACAGCCAATTTAAATTCATAAACTTGCAAAAGACAAATTACATATTTGATTTAAAAAAAAAAAAAAATTAGGCCTGATCTAAAACGAAGCAGAACCCAACATCATCAGCATGTTTTAATGTAGAATAACGTGGGCTTCCCTTGTGGTGCAGTGGTTAAGAATCCGCCTGCCAATGCAGGGGACATGGGTTTGAGCCCTGGTCCAGGAAGATCCCACATGCCGCAGAGCAGCTGGGTCCGTGCGTCACGGCTGCTGGGCCTGCGCTCTGGAGCCGGCGAGGCACAACTATTGAAGCCCAAGCACCTCGAGCCCGTGCTCCGCAACGGGAGAAACCACCGCAATGAGAGGCCAGCGCACCACAACGAGGAGGGGCCCCTGCTCACCACAACTGGAGAGGGGCTGCGCGCATCAGCGAAGACCCAATAAATAATAAGTAATTTTATTTTTAAAAATATCTAGAATAATCTAACTAAATCCATCTCAGAATTATTTGAGGATAGGTAGTTTCCATGTTGGTAATTTTGAAAGACAGAAACACATGCTCATAACAGAAAATTATAGCCTTAATACCGGGACAGTTAAAACTATACCTATAGAGGTCCAACTTCATCTTTACTTCTGTTTTGTGATTTCTACTTGTAAACTCAGTTCCACTGATGAAGACATATTTTTCAGCCCCACTCAAACTGCATATTAGCCCAGGAATCCCAACAAGTTGTTAGAATCTTCCTCTTCTTATGAGAAAAATGAAAGAAGTGACTTGTCCAAGGTCACACTGTAAATCTCTAGCAGAGTAGAAATTACAACTTGGAAACTCTCCTAGTATGTTATTCAGGTCAATGAACCTGCTCTCTCCATATAAGGTGAGAAAGAACCTAACAATCAGTCCTTGAATAAATGCTTCCAGGGTGGTGGGTTGAGAGTGAATGGCCATCCCTTCAGTCTCCAGTATCTTTTTGTTAAAAAAGAAAAGAGGGTATGAACACAAGAAATAGAATTAACCACAATATTTTCTTTTCCTTTCAAGAAAGATCCCTATAGATCAAGATAACCTATAGATAATGGATTAAAGTCAAGCATCTTTCAAATTTACATTAAAGATCTTTGTTCTCTGGTGTCAAAAATGTATACGCAACTCCTTCTGAACTACCCACACGTGAACTGCCCGTGCGGACTTAATTCCAAACCCGTCCACGTTGCCAGTCCGCATCTTGCCACACACTTGTTTCCTCCACTATCTACAAACCACCATTCAGATCATATCAACAAATTTTCACGTTAACTTTTGGTAAAGCAGACTAAGGAAGGTAACCATGCTGCCAAAATTTTCTTCCTGCCAAACAACAGTTTTTATTTATTGTCATTTGAATTGTGGAACTGTTCATTAGTACACACAATCAAAAAGTAATTGTATAATCCCTTCCTAAATGTCTATGGCTCTTCCAAAACAGCATTTCTAACCCTAGAAGAAAGGCGTCCGTTCAGGGGGTTATTATTTTCAAGAAAGTGAGTTAAGTAACAGTTTACCTTCAGGGGGATTTAAAATACATTTTCCTTAGAGAAGTAACAAAGCAATCAGTATTTTGATAAATCCTAAATAAAAAACAAAATACCAGCAATGTAGAGAAAATTTATTGTTTTGTTTTAAAAATCAAAGCCATATCCTTAAATTTTACAATCAGGTTTTCTGGCATAAACAGTAATATCCTGGCAAAACAGAGGGAAAACCTGGCCATTTTCTGTTTTATGGGTTTATTTCAAAAGTGACATCCAGAACCTTTATTAAAAAGCCAGTTTTTCATGAGCCCAGATATTGAAGAGAAACAAAAAACAGCTACCTCCCAAAAAGAAGCCAAAAAAAAAAACCATGGAAGCTAAAAGTCTGCCCTGCCATCATGGATTAGGCGAACCCTAAACTTAGTAAGATACTGCTTGCCCATTAAAATGTCAAACTGTACCAAAAGTTGCCACTTTTGTGAATACGTTTCTATTTCATACTAATAATATTGTGAAGGGAGTGTCAACCAGTATAACTTCCCTATCAAACTGCAAACAGATTTTGGCATATGAAATATTTATTAGGGAAAAAAAAATAAGTTGTTTTGTTTTGTTTTGGCCGCTCCACGCAGCTTGCAGAATCTTAGTTCCCCGACCAGGGACTGAACCTGGGCCACAGCAGTGAAAGTGCTGAGTCCTAAGCACTGGACTGCCAGGGAATTCCCAATAACTAAGTATTTTTTATATGGTGTACAAGTTTATCAGGTAACATAACATGTAAACTCTACATATATTGAATCACTAATTCAAACATCTGAAGTCTCACTGAAAATTCCTTTTGGGCACTTAGCCTCAGAAGGGTTTGAATGTCAGGCAAACAAGCAAGGCCATGGCCCAGGGTAGGTGGGCCTCCTTCCATATAAATCCCTTTAAATACCCATTTACAGTAATCTTCCCTTCCCCTCCTTCCTACTTGGTCTTCTCTTCCCCAGGCTAAAAATGACCATGTTTTGCCAAAATTTAAATCTAATCCTGCTCCAAGAGCTATGCTAATGCTCTGTCTCTAGGGTTAGTCTGTTCCTAAGATAGTCTCCTACTTAGGAACTTAGCTGGGTAGGAAAGTGAGGGAGTACATAATTCTCTCCTTTCTTTCTAAGCCTAAGCCCAGCTTCAAATATATCAGAGAAGGAAGCAGGCTCTACCTCCACCTCCCCCATTCCATACTCAGCACCGTCTTCCCCCATTCAATAGAATCCATACTGAATTAAGAATAACCTTCTTCCCAAGTCTCTCAAGCAGCAGATGGTCTAAAAACCAAGATTTGACATTTCACATCCATTTGGATGGATATTATCAAAAAAACAGAAAACAACAAGTATTGGTGAAGATGTAGAGAAACTGGAACACTTGTGCATTGCAAGTGGGACGTAAAATGGTGCAGCTGCTGTGGAAAAGGTATGGCAATGCATCAAAAAATTAAACACAGACTTACCATTTGATCCAGCAATTCCACTTCTGGGTATATACCCAAAAGAAGGGAAAGCAGTGACTCAAACAGATATCTGTACACCCATGTTCACAGCAGCATTATTCACAATAGCTAAAAGGTAGAAGCAACCCAAGCGTCCATCGACAAATGAATGGATAAACAAAATGTGGCATATACATACGATGGAATATTATTCAGCCTTAAAAAGAAAGGAGATTTTGACATATGCTGCCACGTGGATGAACCTTAAAGACATTATGCTCAATGAAATAAGCCCATCACAGAAGGACAAATATTGTACAATCCCTCTTATTCGAGGTTCCTAGAATAGTCAAATTCGCAAAGACAGCAAGTGGAGTGGTGGCTGCCAGGAGCCAGGGGGACAGAGGACTGGGGAATCAGTGTTTAGTGGGTACAAAGGTTTAGTTGGGAAAGGTAAAAAGGCTCTGGAGATGAATGGTGATGATGGTTGCACCACACTGCAAATACACTTAATACGACTGAACCGTACACTTAAAAACGGTTCAAGTGGTAAATTTTATGTTACATATTTTTCCCACAATTTTTAAAAAGCTTTTTTTAATTAAAAAAAATAAACAAACAAAAAACAAGATTTGAGAATGCCAGATTCAAATTAGGGAACAAGTCCCTACATCTGATCTCTCTTCTCCAAGCTGTCTCTCACCCACTCTTTTCCTTCCTACAGTGCCAAAACCTCTACTTCAGAAGAACACTGCCAAGGAAAGATGATTTCTCTCTCAATTTCCACTTACTTGTACAGCTGACCCTTGAACAATGCAGGTTTGAACTGCCTGGGTCCACTTATACACTGCCCATATTTTTCAAAGGTAAATACTACAATACTACACAGTCCATGGTTGGTTAAATCCGCAGATGTGCAGGAACTGCAGATACAGAGGGCTGACTGTAATTATGCGTGAATTAACCCCTGCATTGTTCAAGAGTCAACTGTAATATGGAAAGATTTTTTTTTAATTCCTCATCATGGAAATTGTTTCTGATTTATATTCTTTAAATAATATAATCTCAAGAAGCAATACATCTAAAACCAAGAAATATACTCTAAACCATGTCTAAAAATTATACCTGTATTTCTTCTTCTGAAGCTGCCATATCATAGTTTCAGACAGCTCAGTGGCGTAAATTTCTTCAAAATGAGGGCTCATTATTTTTGTGACTTCTCCATCTCCAGCACCTAAATCAAGAAGTCTATGCGTTTTCCAGTCTGGATTAATTTTAAGCAGTCTCTGAAACTGATCTGGTGAAAAGACAAACATTGAGCCTCTTCCTAGCAACCTGGAAAAGAAAAAAGGACAAAAATGGATGACTCTATATGTACCAAAATGTTCATTGCAGCTCTATTTACAATAGCCCGGAGATGGAAACAACCCAAGCGCCCATCATCGGATGAATGGATAAAGAAGATGTGGCACATATATACAATGGAATATTACTCAGCCTTAAAAAGAAACGAAATTGAGCTATTTGTAATGAGATGGATAGACCTAGAGTCTGTCATACAGAGTGAAGTAAGTCAGAAAGAAAAAGACAAATACCGTATGCTAACACATATATATGGAATTTAAGGGGGAAAAAAATGTCATGAAGAACCTAGGGGTAAGACAGGAATAAAGACGCAGACCTACTGGAGAACGGACTTGAGGATATGGGGAGGGGGAAGGGTGAGCTTTGACAGGGCGAGAGAGAGTCATGGACATATACACAGTAACAAACTTAGTAAGGTAGATAGCTAAGGGGAAGCAGCCGCAAGGCACAGGGATATTAGCTCGGTGCTTTGTGACAGCCTGGAGGGGTGGGATAGGGAGGGTGGGAGGGAGGGAGACGCAAGAAGGAAGACATATGGGAACATATGTATATGTATAACTGATTCACTTTGTTATAAAGCAGAAACTAACACACCATTGTAAAGCAATTACACCCCAATAAAGATGTTTAAAAAAAAAAAAAAAAAAAAGGATGACTCTATACAAGATAAGCACTTCCACCCAACATCCACACAAAGTAGTGACTCAACACCAACAGCCTCTGAACTTACACAATGTTTATTTTATAAGATTATACGATTAAAATATATATCTTTTATATGATTTATGATTAAAAAGCAAAGTTAATAAAATAAGAAAACACCTCTAGATATCATCGTCTGCCTTTGAGGCTGCAAACAATACACCAAAAAGAGTGGGGAAAGGAGAGGAATAAAAGGTGGGAAGGGAAGAAGAAATATATAAGAAATTAAAAGATGAATGTGGGGCCTCCCTGGTGGTGCAGTGGTTGAGAGTCCGCCTGCGGATGCAGCGGACACGGGTTCATGCCCCGGTCCGGGAAGATCCCACATGCCGCGGAGCGGCTGGGCCCGTGAGCCATGGCCGCTGAGCCTGCGCGTCCGGAGCCTGTGCTCCGCGACGGGAGAGGCCCCAACTGTGAGAGGCCCGTGTACCGCAAAGAAAAAAAAAGAAAGATGAATGTGAAGAATTTAAGTCAAAATAGGAAGGAAAGATGGAAGGAGTAATAGAAAACATGTATATCGGTTTAAAAAAATGACAGGCCAACAGGATCAGACCACAACACTAGCCAATAACACTAAGCAGAAAAAGCAAATAGGGGGAAAAAGCCATTTAGGATATGAAACTGAACAATGAGTATAAAAAATAGCTCTAGGTATTAGATTTTTAAGAGACACTAGAGAAAAGAGGAAGAGTGGTCCTTGTGATATCAGTTAATCTGCATTTAAAAAGTAGATTCATACTTGTGTCAGTTTGTATGTTATACAATTGGCTGGGTCCTATTATTTCTAAAAATCCTAAAAAACATCTAAAACATAGTAATGCCTTTGAAAAAAAGAGGAGTTAAAATGGAGATCAAAGAGAGCTCTCCTAAAAGCAGCTACAGATCAAACCAAGTCCTGAGGAAGCATCATCTTGGGAAATAAAATGCACTCCCTATTTAGAACTTGCTTTCTAGCTCTCAAATCCCAGTCTGTCTAGGGCAGGGATTCTCAAACTTCCTTTAAGCAGCAGAACCATTTCTTTAAATGAAGCAGACGTTACTCATGGACAATGTAAAATGTAACAGGAGAGCTGCTGCTGAAATGAGGTTGAGAGCCTCAGCGCTGCTGCCAGCCCGCTCCTAGGCCTTTCTCTGCAGCCTGAAGCAGCTCCTGAGGCGCTTCCTCTTCAGACCCTGGAAAAGCCTGAAAACCACTGGTCTAGGAAATGGCAGGGAAATCTGTACCATACTGCTGCTTTCTGGAAATAATCCTAAGGTGCAATATGTTTGTTACACAGTGACTGGAAGGACGTGTGCAATGGGTGTTCCTGGTAAGACCAGTTCCAGGAAAAAATTAAAATATGGAGCTCATATAACAAACTCCTCCTCCCCTTTCCCTTAGAAGAGGTCAACCAAATCTAACAATATACTTGCAGTAAATCTTCTGCCCTACAGAAATGCTAAAAAATGGGGTGGGGGGGACCCTCAGAGACTTTCACCCAATACAACTAGCTCCCAGAGAAAACATCTCCTAAAAGACAAGTTGTTTTTAATCCTCAATTGTTCCTATCTTCTAGTGGGAAAACAGGCTGAAAAAGAAATCTGAGAAAAGGAGCTGAACTTCCTGAAATAGCTATACAAAATTTCACATGGGAGCCAGAGTCAGAACAAGAGCTAAGAGAGGTCACAGGCTTGGGGGTACATGTTTCAAATGCTGGTGCTAACTTGCCATAGGACCAAAAGTAAGTTGCAAAACAGTTACATGGCTTAAACTTTCCCAATTTTAAAATAACATGCTTCCCTAGCCATCTCTTTGGAGTCTAAGGACCCTTGACATGATAATCATAAAATTCTAGAGCTAGAGGTCATCTGAGGTCAGAGCTCAGGTTGAAAGGCACCAGAGAGAGAAGCATTGCCCTATTTCCAAAGATCATGAGCAACAGAGGCTATACAAAAAGATTTAAACTGCCAAAAGAAAAAAAAAATCTAAATTCATCGAGCCCAGATGAATTTTGGTCTCTAGGAAGCCCTGGGAGTAGGTGGGAAGAGTTTTGGGTGGTCACAATTACTTGAGGGTGCTACTGTCACTTAGAGGGCAAGGTCAGAAAAGTCAGACTTCCTGCAATGTGTGGGACAGTCCCACACAATGAAGAATTATCCCACTTAAAATACCAAGACACTGACTTTTGCTCAGTACAAGGTTTCTAGCAAACACATACCACGGAGAGGTATGGCTCTCTAATTTGTCTTTAACTCCCAAAGTTAGTGATGTCGATGTATTTTTTTGGTGTGTGTGTGTGTGTGTGTGTGTGTGTATGTAAAAAAACCATCCTATGTTCTCTAAGTTCTCTCTAGATTTAGAGTCTACAGAGGAGATAAACCTCCTTACAAATATCTTCCTTATAAAATAAACTCTGAAAACAGCTATCAAGTCTCTCCTTACTTGGTCTTCCCCTTCCCAGTAAAGGACGTCGATAAGTACCTTATCTTTTTAATTCAAGAAGGTTACCATAGGGACTTCCCCGGTGGTCCAGTGGTAAAGAATCTGCCTTCCAATGCAGGGGACACGGCTCGATCCCTGGTCAGGGAACTAAGATCCCACATGCCGCGGGGCAACTAAGCCCACGAGCCACAACTACTGAGCTCCCACACCTTAATGCGAGAGCCTGGGTGCCACAAACTACAGTGCCCACGGCCTCTGGAGCCCATGTGCTACGACCAGAGAGAGAAAACCCTCACGCCACAACTAGAGAGAAGCCCGCAAGCCTCAATAAAGAGCCCACGCACCGCATGGAAAAGATCTCACATTCCGCAACAAAGATCCCGCATGCCGCAACTAAGACCCAACGCAGCCAAAAAAACCCCACAAGATAAATAAAATAAATAAATATTCTTTAAAAAAAGGTTACCATAGTAATTATTTCTATAAGAGACAGCCACTTGTGGTAATAAGCTTCCATTGCCATAGACGGAAATTCCCAGTGGGCTCAAAGTTAAGCTTCCAGCTGAGAATAGGACACAGGGCAAGAGATGTTTTTGTTTTGTTGGGGGAGAAGGGTGCCAAGGGGGGATGAAGGGGTGGGGATGAGGGTTATTTAAAAAAGAAAAGCAGAAGAGCTGTGGATAAGATAAGCCAAAACGGATTTATTAATCTTATTGCCCCTTTGACCAAATTGTGAAATCCCAGAGCAGAGAATTTTAACCAGGGGTGAACAGGGTAGAGGTAGGGGGAAGCAGTTTAGAGTGTGAAATCTCCCTAAATTATATGCAAAATGCTGAATGTAAGGACTATTTGAAGAGAGAATTTCTACTTTATATCACTTTCAAAGAGGTACAGGGCCCCAAAAAGGTTAAAAATCACTGCTGCGGTGACTTGTCTGCTTTCCCAGCGAAAAAATAAATGGTACAGAACAGAAATTCAATGCCGTGAATTTTAGAAACAAAATGTCAGACCAAGTTGTTTAAACTCAACTACCAATACAAAAATAACAACTGTTTGCTAAAGCAAATTTAAGGCAATTTCATATAAACAATGAAGAAATCTTGAGAAACGGCTCATGGTTCCTGAAAACATATTTAAGGACCAGATGATAGACTGGGGATCCAGACATTCAGTAGAAGCTGGCTCCAAACCTCAAGGGAAGAAAAAGTGGGCCCAGCCAGTGGCTTCAAGAGGTCCAACAGGCTTTTCAAGCACTGAGCCCTGCTGCTTTTCTCTTTGGAGTTCTGGATTCTTAGGCTTTGCGGTGTCTGAAAATTTGGCCAAGAAAGGATAAAAATATTCCTAAAGCTTCTCCCATAGACTTATATGAGAGAACCACTCTAGGGATAGAGAATTCCACAATGTTTACAAAATTCTGGTGAGTCTAAACAATAAGTAAGAATAGATGGAGGGACTTCCCTGGTGGCACAATGGTTAAGACTCCACACTCCCAATGCAGGGGGCCTGGGTTCGATCCCTGGTCGGGGAACTAGATCCCACATGCATGCCGCAACTAAGAGCCCACATGCTACAACTAAGAAGCCCACGTGCCACAACTAAGGAGCCCGCCTGCCGCAACTAAGACCCAGCACAACCAAACAAATAAATAAATATTTTAAAAAAGAAAGAAAGAAAGAACAGATGGAGAACCCTTCACTCGAACAAGCCACCATCCACTGCTGGGCTGAATTAGATCCTTCCCAAAAAAACTTGCTCCTGGGAAGTGTGCTTAAGGCAAAGATCTTACTTTTCAGCCTGTATTAAGGGCCTGGTTCCAACCATCTTGCTCCTCTCTAATAGATCAGCATAGGCATCACCTGGAGCATGTTAAAAATGCAAAATCTCTGGTCCCACCCCAGACCTACTGACTCAGAATCTGCCGTTTAACCAGATACCCAGGTGATTCCTGTGCACATCAAAGTGGGAAGCACTGTGATTCCCATCACAGAAATACAGACCAATGAGGCTGTTTATCAAGATCAAGTTACAGTGAATTTTAAAAGCATAATTGCAGAGGCTGAGACACTGTGCCAAGGATTCTGACTAGAAGTGTTGTAGCTGTAGAGGTGGTCAACATCTCAACAAGGTAACTTTTCGTTTTCCTTTTCTTTTTTTAGACCTAAGGATAAAGAAAAAAGTATCCAAGATTCACTTACCCATTGATAGATGTTCTAGACATAAACAGGCTAAAAACAGATGACACAAAAGAGTGATATAATTGGATAAACAGCCAGCCCGATTTCTCAATGCTGTTGTTTAAGAAGATCTGTGTTCCTTGATCAAGGTAACTCTGAACAAAGACAGCCTGGAGTGATTCACATAATTTCTCTCTGTTGCACGCATACCACTAAAAAGAAAGAAGAAAAAAAATGAAAACATACAACTGAAGCGTCATCTAAGAAGTCCAAAAACAAAAAACAGAAGACTAAATTAAATCTAAGATTTCCAAATGTTATAATCTCACGGCACTTTAAGAATCATCATCATCTCTCATATGGCCTATAAGGTATAAAGTATTTCCTCACACATAATCTCTGGCTTAATTCTCATTACCTTCAGGGTACGCAGAGAGAGTGGGGGACGGGTGAAGAGGCTTCCGGGTCATGCAGCTCAGTAAGTGACAGAGCCAGGCCACCGTCCAAGTGCTCTGACTCCTGGCCCAAAACTCTGTCACTATATCCCCCTGCACCCCAAGATTAGGAAAACTGTTGGCCTCTCCTTCACTGGGATTCAACATAAGGCAATAACTACCAGCATTAACCTTGTTTTTAGATAAGAAAACAGTCACCCAATGCAATGATTTAACTCGAAACCACCAGACAAATCAAGTAAGCGGAGGAGGAACAGCAGAATTTAATATTCCAGTGACCAGATTAAGCTGCGCTTCTTCTTGTGGGCTAAATAGGGACCTTTAGGAACACTGAGGTGTGCTTTACCAGGTCATATAACATTCTGCTAGACAGGAGTCAAGTATGCTTGAGAAAGATTAAGAAGTTACTTAAGGTCACATGCAACCAATGAGAGGACAAAGTAATAACATGCTAAGAACCAGATTTCTAGGAAAAGGCTCTAACCAGAACACACTTTTAGAACAAAATTCAAGAACCTCAACTGTGGATGAAATGTAATCTTCCGTAATAAATGTGCCCCATTTTCATCTAGCGTTAGTATACCAGAGAAGGGGGTAAGCAGCCTGTAGGGCGCAGCAGCTTTACAGTGAGCTCATCATCAAGTCCTGGCTCAGCCATTCCTGTGTATGAGCTCACACAAGTCACTTAATCTCTGAGCCTCTGTAAATTCGTCTGTAGACTAGAGATGTCACTGGTTTCTATCTATCCTGGTAGGTTATTTAGAGGATTAAGCAAGTTAATGCAGGCCAATCCTCAATATAGGACCAGACACATGAGACTGCTGTAATAATAACAGCCATGAGATAAAGTCCTCTGACATGGCCTGATAAACAAAAGTAAGTCCATTAAGTACCACGATGAAACTGCAGAGTAGGCCAGTTACTATTAATCTGTTACCCACTAAGAGACAATCAATCTCTCCCAATGAGCAGCCAAAAGTAACCTGCTTCCCCCTGACAAACACGACCATTCCTCAGCAGTAGGTGTCCTGTAACTGCCTGCACAATTGATGGACCAATTTTACAGTCATCCTAAGCTTGCTAAATATTGAATGAAATCTTGGGTAATATTCCCGACACTAACATTGAAAGGAACCAGTTATAAACCAATACAAAGAAGCAGACAGGCACATTAAGATTTCAAAGATTAACTAATCTTTTTACGAACTCTGTGCCCTGACTTGATAAACCAAATCTTTCCAATTGTTGACTGATTCGTGTTAATTTACCATTAAACACTTTTACCAAAACTGCTTCAGCTTGATACTATTTTTATTTTTCCCACTCTACATGATAAGCTTTGAAGCTTCTTACATTCACTGCCTACACTTTTTTCCTTGGTCTGAAAACGTTCATGCTTAATCATTAACTAATTCTTAACACTCATTGTGCCTGAAGTTATGCCCCAGTGCAGGTCATAAACCATTTTTTATTATATGCCTGACCTCCTGGTTCACATTCTGAACTCTGTAATACTGGGGCCATTCTAACTTTTATTTTCTCTTAATTCTCTGAAATGACTAATCAAGATGAAAGCCATCACCTTGGTAATAGGCAATCAGGTACATTCTATTAACGTGGACAAGAAGTCATTCAAGTGGAACAGAGGAGCTAAGAATTCTTTGGCATCCACTTGTAAATGGACAACCAGAACAATAACAGACTCTGACTTCCAGAACTAAGCAAGAATTGGCACCATTAACTGCAAATAATGCTTTCAAGTGCTCCCCAAAACTCAAGTTTTTAACAGCATTTCTCTCAATTCATCAACATTAACACATTAACACATGTGGTTGAACCTTTACTGCCATACAAATCTTTCAGAAAAGAAAATGCTTACTGAAAAGAATGTGCTACAGAATAAAAAGGAGTAATGCCCTTCTCTTTAAAGATGAAGGTTGAATTCCATGTTCCTCCTGACCATTTGTATGATACTAATGTCAACTCCATAGCAGCATTATTCATAACTACCAAAAAGTGGAAACAGCCCCAATGTCCATCAACTGATGAATGGATAAACAACATGTGATTGATCCATACAACGGAATATTATTTCAGCCATAAAAAGGAATGAGGTACTGATTCATGAGACAACATGAACTATGAATATTATGCTAAGTGAAATACACCAGTCACAAAAGGCCACAAATTACATGATTTCATTTACATGAATTGTCCAGAACAGGCAGGTCCAGAGACAGAAAGTAGAAAGTAGATCACGGTTACCAAGGGTTTGGGGAGAGGAGGCAATGGGGAGTGTCTGCTAATGAATATGGGGTTTCTGTATCGAGTGATGAAAATGTTCTAAAATTAGAAAGTGATGATGGTTGTACACCTTTGTGACTATACTAATAAGCACTGAATTGTACACTTAGAAAACTTAAGTGGTCAAGCATATCTCTTTAAAAATGCAAATTTCAGATGCAAATCTAATCATGTCAATACCCTGCTTCAGAGAAGTCTTAATATCCAAATACTAAATATGGCTTACAAGGCCCTACAGGATTTGTCCATTCTGTGTCCACAGCCTCACCTCACGACACTCCCTACCGATCCATAACACCCAGCCACTCACTATGTCTTTCTTTTTCTGGAAGGCTCCTTTCCCAAGGCTGTTTCGCATGGTATTTGCTGTCTCCTACATTTCCCACCACCCCAACTGACCTAAGCCTAAATATTTCTTCAAGTAAGTTTCCCTTGAACTTCCAGACTAGGATGGATCCCCTGTTCTAATACTCTCTCACATCTCCCAAGTCTCCTCAGTAACATTTATAACCACTGAACTGAATACCTGTATATAATTGCATGTCCGGTGTCTATCTTCCCAGGTAGACAGAAAGCTCCATAAAAGGTCAGGGACAATGACTGACTTCAGTGACTGGCACAGATACGGATGAACAATAAATGTTCATCTGTTTAACAATTATTGTTAAAAATCACAGGCAGTCTAACAGATAAAATTTAGAGTTTCTAGTAAAATCCTGGAGAGAACACAAGGAAAACCATGGAGACAGGTGTCACTGGGTTTCATCAATTTCTAAAACTTCAAGGTTTTTGCAAGGCCTTGCTTAAACCCAATTCTGTAAATAGTAGTTAAGCTACCCACCCACCACAAAACTGCATTAGCAGAGCAAGCAATGAAGGAACACACCGAGTGCCTACCTTGTACCAGGCACCTGGCAGAGCACTTCACATTTCATTTCCCACCTTATAGCTCCTGAATGAATAGGAAGCCTGGGGTTTCTGAGCACTCCCAGCTGATTCAAGCTCCTGTTCTAGGTGCATGTGGTTTTTTTACGCGTTTCTTTCAAAGAAGCTACTCTTTGCTTCAGTCTACCCAGTGTATCTGTCTGAGAAAGCAGAACTATTCTGGCCAGTTAGACTGACTAAATGTGTCTAAAGATAATCCGATCTAGACAGCAACTAAATAACACTAGGCCAGGGTTTCTCAACCTCAGCACTATGGACATTTGGAGCTGGACAATCCTTGTTACGGGGGCTGCCTTGTGCACTGTAGGATGTTTAGCAGCATCCTTAGCCAGTACCCATCAGATGCCAGTAGCACCCTCCAGTTATGACAACCCAAAATGTCCCAGACATTGCCAAGTGTCCCTGAAGGTACAAAATCACCACTGCTTAAGAGCCCCTAAATGGGCTTACCCAGAAAATTTCATTAGCATTTCCTAACCATCCCAGCTCAAAAGTGGTCTAGGGAAAATTAAAGATGGACTCACTGGCCTCCAGGAACTTACATTCCAGAGGAGGGAAAAAATCAGAAACCCAGAGAAACAAGTAATGTCATCGTGATCTTGGCCAGGACCTTCAGGTCTTAAATACGTAGTCACCTTGCCCTTAAGATGTTGACAGAAAGTCAGTGCAGGAGCCCATGCAACCATGTGGCAGTCCCCCTGGAGTTACCTCTCTCCAGACAACCCAGCTTAAATGAAAAGCTGTGATGAGCTCTCACTAAGTGGCCTGTCTGTAGGCTTCTGCACATGTTCAAGCAGGTGAGTTCTTTGAACGTGTGCTCCTCAAAGACTACAGAGACAAATGTGCACAGGCAAGAACAAAGTATCATGCCTGTTAAAGGTTCACATTGGAAGGACTGCGTGCCAGCCCTACTGTAGGGCTGTAATCCTCAGCTGGAGACCACAGCATCTGAAAAAGCATCTTATGAGCTAGCATCTCCCTTTAAAGTTTGCTTGAATTTTGTTCAGTGGAAATAAGTAAGGAAATCTTTGAAATAACAAAGTCTAATCAAGCCAGAGTTATGCCATGCAGTCATCTGCTGATGCCAAGTGTGAAATAGGATGTGATAACTAAACATAACATCTTCTAAAAGAGGTTACAGTAAATAGCAATGTTCTCCCTACTAGCAACAAGACTGTAGAGATACTAATAATTAGCCAAACAATAAATAGCCAAATCAGGTAGACATGACAGGGTATCAGCTAATCAACATAATGAAGTATTAAGTCATGTCTTAAAGATTTCATTAAGGCCATGGAAATCTCATCTTTATATAACCTTGTTTGATGAATCATTCCTTTAAAGTAGAAATGCAATTTTCCTATAAAATTATATCTGCTTATCAGACTGAGGGATACAATTAAAAGTTTTTCTGAAATTATTTTTTTGAGTTCCTCAACTAGTCAAACACGTGGTATATGATATAATAGTCTCTTCTTCCAAAATACAAAGGACTTGAGCACATTAGT